GATGTTTGCCGCGGAGTACCAAGGCTGAGGACCGAGCTGTGAGAAATGAAGGAAAATTGTGCACATTTTATAATTGCCCTTGAACACATTTCTCGCACCACGTTAGGTGTTTATTTGTTTCATCAACTCCAAGGCTATCTGTTGCTTATTCAGAAGGTAGCAATTATAAACATACCTCACTATACCTAATAGGCACATTTCCTTTTCCCTCTCCATCGTATTCAGTGGAGTAAAGCGCATCTCATCGCTGCAAACATCAACGATTCAGAGCAGGAGGACTGACGCTGCATTGAAGGCATCTTAAAGACACTGCTCAGAACCATGAGGCAATATACTATTATTAACTCATCAGAAGCAACAGGGATTGACATACGAGAGCTGTTAGAGACAGACGCGTATTGCACTTTACACCCAACAACAACAACAACAACAACAAAAGACATGAAGAGCTACTTGCACAATCAATGGCTGAGATGCCTTTACTCAAAAGGAAAGCATAGTATCGACTCGCCAGAAGAATGGGAACAGACAAGTATACAACTCATCATTCTAACAAAGTAGACACGTAAAATACTGTAATATAGGCTGTTAATCTGCAGCGCACTCTGCTTTCACATCAGTGTTACTGATCTTGATTTCAATGTCCTAGATAGTGTTTGAATAGTGTTGATGCACAATGTGCAATGTGAAGATGAAACGTGTGACACAGAAACTTTGCAGCCTCAGTCGGGAGAAAAGAAACATTAGGGAACCCCGACATCAGCAATGTACAGTCTGGAATGAATGAACAAAAGCGATGATACATTTGAAAAAAGAATCGTCGTCCTCAAAACTCACAGCATGGCTTGAATACAAAAATATATATAAATGTATTAAAAATATGACTGCAAGTGATTCTGATACACACTGGCTACAGTCTGTATACAAACTCCTATAGGAGGGACAGCTAATACACGTTTGTACCAGTTAGGGGGTGACCGTGGCTCACTGGGTTAAGAGGGTTGACTTGACCGCAAGGTTCGATCCTTGACTGGGACGTGTCATGTGTCCCTGAGCAAGACACTGTACCCCTAACTGCTCCCCGGGCGCCTGTCATTGGCAGCCCACTGCTCCCTATATATACAGGGATGGGTCAAATGCAGAGACAAATTTCCCCCTTAACGAGATCAATATAGTGTAATAAACAAATTACCAAATGACAGATAAGATACACATTTAAGATGCTCTTGTTCTGAATGTTTCTAAATTGGGTTGTTGCTCCTTGACATTTCATCAAGGTGCTCCAGAGCTCTGACTAGAAAAAGGTGTGCAGAGCCCTGACAAATGCATATATATCTGATTACAGACTTGACCACACAGACTGTCATTTTTAAACCATTATCTATAGATATTATTATTAGAACGGGGTATTATGTGAAGGAAACCAAAAACAACTGAGCTCCAAACTGTGGAAGGCTAACTTGTAGTAACCTTACAGACTAATATTCGATAGTCAGAGCCATACAAATCAAAATAACATCATTTGTCTTTGTGTAATCAGATGTACAGCATATCCAATATCATGCTCAATGTTGGGGGAGTGGCATCAGAGAGCCCCAAATACCAACCGAGTAACTGAATTAGACATAGTCTAAATAAATCTCTTTGTCTAAATGAATCTCATTACAAAGTCTTCTCATTGGCTGCTTGTAAACTCAGAGAGTTAGTGCACTGCACAGCCTGCGCTGCTACGAAAAGATTTATGGAGGCATGAAAGGTAAAATTCATCTTTATGTTTGCACTCTAAGTGCACTGTTTTCAAGCAGAGCAGAGAAGAGGGGGAAAGAGTAGCAAAGACACACTAAAGCTGCCTTCAGAAGGAAACTGTGAGCTCGTGGTTACGACACGGGAAGTCACGTGCACAATAAGCGTGCCGTTCAAATTCTTAAGTGCTGCTGGGCAACGGCAATATCAACGTTACCGTCAGCATCTAGAAGTCATAGAGGCTAAAAATGTTGCAAGCTGGCAAAGCGGGTAAGGTAATGCAAAGGCATAATGACAGAGGCTGCTGTGAATATCGACATTTTCCACAGACATATTACTAAATTACAAAGTTTTTAAGCACCCTAAAATGTCTTCCATGGCCTCCAAAATCGTTTTTTTTTTTTAGCAAACACGTCACAACTCGTGAACTTTGAGCATTTCACAAAATATCCACTTCCGGGGGGGTCTTGTTACCACAGTACACACGAGCCCATTTGAAGGCAGCATAAGACCTTATTCACATCTGGCATTTCCTATGACATATATCCAAACTATAACTGGCAAGCCTTTATCCATTAAGAATATATATGTACCAATAAAACTGACTTCGGCAGCCAGGTAGAAATGCAAATAGTGTTTTTTTCGCTCACACTATGCAAATGATTCTTCCAGAACGTTAAATGACGGTAAACATCTGTTTCATCTGCGACACAGCCTTGAGTCTCATTTTTATTCCAACTTTGGTAGAT